GTTTTGACGAGGTAAGAATTGAATCGAGTAATGCTATGGAGTTGTTTACCTGGTATAGGTTTTCAGAGGAGATTAGAGATCTTTTATACTAGTTGATGACTGTGGTATTTGGTGCTGTTTTTTTTTTTTTTTTTTTTTTTTAATGGTTGTTTGATTAAAGTATGATTGGGATTTTTAGAGCAAGTATATTACTATATAGTTGTTGAGGTTACGTAGGACAATGGATTGATAGTGAGTGGATCTCATGGTTTTCTTGTGGACTATGTAAGAGTGTGTTTGAGGTTAGACATGAGGACAGGAACGACGTCTGTGTTGAGACCAGATTGATGACGAGAATGGCCTGGCCAACTATTTCTCCTAAATCAGTCCCTCTGTAGCACGATGTCTGGTCAAAGGTCAATGATTGTTCGATTTGCCAGGGGCAGTGAGAGCATGGTATCGTATGTTATGTCGGCGAGACGGTATGGATTCGGGTGGTTAGTCTTGGGTGACGAGGTGTGTTAGGTGGGACCAAGTATTCAATAAAGGTTTGTGGTGCGACCACTTGATTATCGAGGATCTGTTTTAAGGATTGTGTCCTGAGTACGGGATAGTGTGCTGTACTGTTTTGGTGACTAATGTCTATGCAGCCGTTGGGGAATCATTGTTTAACAATCTTGAGGTTATAGATGTAATGATTCTCGTATAGTAGGGGTAGTAGTCGTTGGTAAGATTATGTGATGGTATAGGTGTGTGTTAGATGGCAAGTATTGGTTTGACAGTGACATGTAGATTTGAGTTTGAGCTTGATTGTGAGATGGATAGGGTTCCTTGTCTGTGATTTTGTGTATCCTTTAAAGGATGAGTTGATTTAGGATGTTGTCATGTTCAAGGGTCTTATGACCATTCTTTTTTCAGGCTCCGAAGCCTTGTGTAGCGGTGTAGAGGGGACCAGTGTTGGTTTTAAGTCGAGTGTTGAATCCAGCGGGTTTTGTGTATGATGTCGTGAGCAGTGAGTACCCTCATAGGGTGGTGAGCATTGGGTCCTTCTGGCGGCAGTGTGTGATTGCCTATTGGAACCGGGTCAAAGGCAATAAGGTTGTTGAGTTCCTAGTCCTGCGGTTTGATAAGGTGTTTCTCGGAAAGGTGTGTAGCTATGGGCTTCCTTCTTTAATGAATGTAGATTTTGGGGACGAAATCTTTTAAAGTGGGGGAGAATGTGATATTATGACTTATATATATATATATATATATATATATGTATGTATTAAATGGAAAAAAAGAAAAGAAAAGAAAAGTTGTGGGACCCACCACTTTATTCATTTGTGGTTAAGAGGCATTTTGGCCTCACCTTTCTCTCTCTAACTCTCTCTGTGGCAATTCTCTCATTTCCTCTCTTTTTTTTCATTTTTTTTTTCTTTTTCATTCAAAGTTTCAACTCTTGATTAATCTTCAACCGGTGAGAATTTTTGGGTGCCGTTTGCGGCAAATCGAAGAGCTCGGCGAGATCTTCAAGTGGATGTAAGTAATTTCAGTTTTGGTACATCCTAGGAATTCTAAAAATTTGGACCCATTTGAGGGTTTTCTACAAAATTGAGGTAGGAGTGTTCTAATCCATGACTTCTTGGATTTTTGTGAATTTTCCTCTTTAATTTGACCATAAGCATGCTTTATTTTAATTATGTCCATTGCTATTGTGGTTGTATGTGCTCAAAATGACAAATGTGTTTTACATGCTAATTGGGTTATATACATGACTAGTTACATTATTGTGAAGAAGCATGCTTAATTTTGGTATATTGTGACTGCTCAATTGCTATGGAAATTGATGTTGTGGTTGTGAAATAATTGTTTGGAATTTCCTATCAAAATAATAATAATAATATAATAATAATAATAATAATAAAATGATGATAATGTAGAAGAGCATGTAGAATTTTATTATTGAATTGTGCCTAGAAGCATGAAGCATTCATGCATCCATTGGGAATAAAAGAGAAAGGGAAAAGTGTTTTAGAAAACAAATGAAATTGTTTTTGGGGAAAATTTTTTGAAATGTGTTTGCGAAAATCGGACGCCTAGGGGGCGCCTAGTGGTCCGTGGTATTAGTGTAGTCTAGAAGGGAGTGTGGTTGAGTTAACTTGGCCGGATGTGACGCTTTGAGGCGCCTTGTTGTCGTGGATAGTTAGCCAATTATCTTTTTATGATGCCTTGGAGGTGCCTTGGGTCGAATTACACTAACGGTTTGAAAGTTGAAACGGAGATGTTTCGGATAAGGGGAGCTACATGGGCATGGCATTGCACTTCATTGTCATACATGGTATACTTGTGACTTTGATGACAATTGTGGTTATATTTGACGTTGTAGTTATGGATTGTATCTTTGGTATAACATGATCCCGTTCTCTTGATTTTTATTCTATACGTGGATTCACGGGGTCATAAGAAGTGTGTCTTAGACACCTCCTACTGAACTTATGCTTACCTCATTATTTTAACATTTTTCAGGTTGGGAAAAGAAGTGGAGGGCGACGTTCCTCTACAGGTTTTGATGGGTTAGTGGACTGTTTGACCTATTTTGTAGCTATGATCCCATATTATTATTATTATTATTATTATTTATAAACCCTAAGATGACACATATATTATGTATTGTCATATGAAAGAATGGTAACGTCTTTTGTTGACCTCAGGTTCAGGTAAGGACTAGGTTAGCGATTCGGACCCTTGAATTTGGGTCGGTACAGTTTACTTGCAAAGGGGCAAGCCCAGTGTGTAAAGAACGAAATGATAGAATGGATGAAGAGGAAAATGGAAGGTTTGGAGATGGGTAGCCGAAAACATCTCATCTTTCCTCAAGACCCTAAACCTTGAGATAACTAGTATCTAGAGGGTAGTTCCTAAGGGTTACAAAATTTAGAACTTGAGAATATCTTCTCAAGGTTTCCAAATTGACATGCTTTCAGGTTGAAATATAAGATTGAGACCCTGGCTACCCTCACCCATGGTGATCAAATAACAAAGAAACAAAAATTACAGATGAAAAAGGGAGAAATTTAACTAACCTGAAATTTTCTTCACAAAAAGCCGGACAAAAGTTGCAAAGTAAGAATCAAGAACCAAATAAGAGGATTGGAATGAGCAACACCAAATAGATGAGCAAACCAAAGCGTTAGCATGAAGTCCGGGACGTGCCATGATGAGCAATAAAGAGCACCGCCACATGATCGCGTAGATTTAGGAGATATAATGATCCAAGTGGGAAAGGAACACCAGTTGAAGTTCTCCTTCTTCGATGAAAAAATTAAATTTCCTTCAATTTATATCATTATATAAACTGGGAGGGAATTTGGGGCAAAGTATGGAGGCAAAAAGTCCAAACCAACCAAGACTGGACACATACACAGACAATCAACTAGTAAAGAGAAACTACATACCGAGGTGACCATGCCACATGTGGTATGAGAAATAAAACCTTAATTGAAACTAAAAAATGAAAAGGATGAGGGATAAATGCCAAATAATCCGTAGTAAATTAGGAATGAAATCGGAAGAGAATAAATTAAAGAGAGAAACTAGCCACTGGTGTTAGAAGTTCATTGTATAAATAGAATAAACTGGAACCCAAATGGGGCTTTGAATACTGGAATTATTGAGCTCCAAAAGCTATCAGCTTAAGCAATAAATAATTCTTTAATTCATTTTCAAGAGGAAGGATGGCAAGGGGGGCTATTATATAGGTTTTAAATTATAATATTATCCCCCATAAATGACAGTGCTATAGATAATTATGGGTATAATGATAAAAATAATTTAAAACTCTTTCTTCCCTTCTCTCTTAACGAATGTGGTGATTAATTTGTGAGTTTATTCGTTTCTCTTCTATACAACGGAACAAAAAGAAGGAAGTACATAATATTCGGGATGTCTCATCCATCCCCATTCTCTCTCTTTCATCTAAATTTTTTTCCTTCTTAAATAACGAAATATTAGCAAGTGCAAATATTAACTTCAGTTTGGATACACGGTTCACTAGCTCCCTTGGATAATTATAAGATTTCATGAAGAATAATAGTTTCATTTTGGATTACTATATTTTGTCACTTCCCAAATCGGTTGTCATGAAATTGACCATTGAAACATTAGCCTAACTGCTCTTAGAGATGGCAACGAGATGGAGTTGGGGCAGGTTTGGCTAAACCTTATTCCGTCCTATTAGAAAATCTGTCATACCAACTCCGCCACTACTCCAGAAAGAGTTTGTAATTGTTATATCATCACCACCCTTACTTCGGTGGACAAAGTACTGATTCCGCCCAATATAATCCGTTTAAGTGCGGGGCACAATGGGGGTTGGTCGAGTTATGCCAATTTTATTATGTAGTAAAAAAAACTAGCCCAATCTGTTCAAATTGGGCTGATAAATAAGTTGACCTAATTTTTAAATTACTAAATAATAAATATTAATATATTAACGGACACTTCGAGTAAAGTAACAAGAGTCTTAAAAATAAAATATACATTTCATATATATAAAAGAAATTAAAAGGCGCATATATAATCGGGGCGGAGTCGGGGTGGGTTCATCACTAAATTCGCCCTGCCCAAAGCCTGTTTCGGATTTTCAATTATTTTATTATATCTATTCCAAACTCATTTAGAGAAACACCAATTAAATCCACCCATTAAGTACAGGACAAGGCGAAAACCCCGGGTCAAAAGAAATTGCCATCCCTAACTACTCTCCCAAAGAGAAAGGATTTGAGCTGAATAGGGAGCAATTGTGCATATATATAGGTGTGAACATCTGCCTAACTCAACATAATACTACTACTACTACTACCACTACTACTACTACTTCACGTAATTGCCCGAGCATTTGTCTGCCAAATTTGCTTGTTTGGATTCACACAGTATATATATATATCACCCAAATGGGTTAATCTTGCCAAAAGAGAAAAAACATGTATGTTGCCTTCTTGGACTAAGACTCTTACCAAATGAAGGGATCCGCACGCAAAACAACATTGACCAACTCAATTTAAATCTCAAATTATAATACCATACAATATTAAAACACCTTAATTGACCAACTCAATTAAATTCGATTTTTTTTTTCTTTTTTTTGAACAATATGACATGACTAAATTGAAAATTACACTTCACTAGAATTAAACAAAAGAAACAATACTTGCTTTGCAAATGTTAATCCGGGAAAGAAGGAAAATTTGTGTCCTTGATACTTTATGGCAAAAAGTTCACTCCATTTAATTATTATATTGTACACATTAGCACACTATAGATAAACTAATTGATCCTATAAGCTTAACAAGTAGGAAATAAAACGAGTCTACACTGTTTTTTTAAACTAACCATGACATAAGAATGCAACTAAACATGGGTTGCAAGCTTAATTTGATCTTCTTTGGAGTACTTATCATCTTCAGTTCTGCGAATCTCAATGGGTTTAAAAGTGTAGAACTTTGCGCAGCACAGGTAATAAACAAGATTAACAACCTGCAACAATGTGATCAACCAGTAAAAGTATTCCAACTTCCCCTTATTCAAGTTATCAGGAAGCCAATTTGAGCCACCGGGACCAGCACTAAATTTGTGTACTAGCGAAACCAAGAAGGAACTGAGATAATTCCCGAGTGAAATGGAAGTCCAGAACAACGCTGTCGCAGTGCTCCTCATGCTATCGGGTGCCTGGTCATAGAAAAACTCGAGGTGTCCAATGGACATGAAGGCCTCAGCGATGCCATGAAGGCTGTACTGTGGCACGAGCCAGAATGCCGAGATGGGAATGGTGGCATGAGGCTTGTTGACGAGACCATAGGCCATGGCCACACGTTTTCGCTTTACTTCAGTGAAGCCAGCAACTAGGGTGGCTAGTATGGAAATGACAAAGCCAATGCCCATCCGGTGCAGGAAGGAGATGCCCCGGTCTAGGCCTGTGAATCTACGGACGATAGGGACGAAGATGCGGTCGTAGAAGACGATTGTGGCGAGCATGGAGATCATGGTGAAGAGGGTCATGGAGCCTGCGGGGATTTGGAAGGACTTTGTGAGGTGTCTGTCCATGGTTTTGGCTTGTTGGAGTGAGAAAGAGTGTTGTTGGGCATAGGCTGTGATGATGATGATTCCAGCTGCCCATATCGGTCCCATTCGGATCACGGATTTTAATTCTTCAACTCTGTGAACGGTGTTTAGCCTCCACAGATTCGGCGTTTGACAAGTTTTGAGGTTGTCTTCTTCGGTCACAATGGCTGCCTTGTCGAGAAATCTGCAACACACCATATATGAGCAAAAATTAAACTTTCCCCGACATTTAGTAGTCACAAATTTTATGTTCATATAAATTTGTAATTATTGAGAAGAAAAATAGGTCCTTCTAACTTACTGTAAAAAAAAAGGGTCATTTTTTAACCAATTACATTTTGAAGCAGCCTCCGAAGGATAAATTTATCCAATTAAAAAATCTTTTTATTTATTTATACCCAAAACAAGTCATAATCAAAATATATATATATATATTTTTTTTGGGGGGAGGGGAACTAGAGAGAGGGTGAATTCGAATACAGACACACTCACTCGAGGAGTTAATTAAGCATTTTACTAATTAGGGCAATGAGTAATGTCCATTTGAGCTGTGGTTTATTAGTTAGAAATATATATATATATGGGCTTGGATTGATTTAGGGTCCTTGTAGGTCACTCACAAGCTAATTAGACGCTTTACCAACTGCACTAAGTAATGTCTATTTAAAATATGGTTTATTAGTTAGAAATATATATATATGGGCTTGGACTGTTTTACGGTCCTTACAGGTCACAAGGGCTAGGCCATGGACTGTTCTCCCATTTATGGGCCTGTACAAATACATAATATATGTATGGGCTTGGACTGCTTCACAGTCCTTGCAGGTCCACAAGGGCTAGGCCATGGACTGTTCTCTCATTTATGGGCCTGTACAAATACATATCTTTGAAAGAATACTTTTACAATTTAAAAAAAAGAAAAAACACAGAGATGAATAATCAAAAGGGTGATATTTTAAACCTTGGGATTAATGAACCAATGCAATGAATAAAACATTTATTTATTTATGGGGTGATCTGAATCTCTGACGAAGTGTGATATTTTCGATGCACAAGTGTGATATTTTCAATGCAAAAGATTCTGACAGTTCAGCAAACTGATTAAAGCAATCAATAAAAAAAAAATGGTTGGTATAAGATTTCTTGTTAAATTTTCTAGTACAAGTGGAGCGGGATGATCTAATGAAGACAAAAGGCCAACAAGCCATTGTTGTTCAGTCAAAATGGAGAATTATGAATTATTTGTGCTTGGCAAGAATGCTTGAATCATAAGGTTCTCCCATAATGATTATAATGATTTAAATACTATACTCTGTAATTTCATGATATTTTTTTTTTATTTTCTAAAATAAATGATTAAGATTCAACTTCTCGTAAAAATAAATGGGGCGTGAGTTTCTTTTGAATCAGTGAGAGAATCTTACTTCATATGCTTAGTGTGAAGAAGCTTCCCAGCTACACAAATTGGAGCATCAAGCGCCTCATTCTGGTAGAGCAATTTAGGATCAGAAACCATGTCCAGGTTTCTCTTTCTTACAGCAGCGACGCATACTTGTAATAAACGCGTAAATGGGCTCCCTGCTGGATCTAAATTTCGATACAAAGGGTATCCGAAAATGAAAGCTATGATCGATAAAGCCATAGCTATGGTAGGGACTCCAAGTCCCCATCCCCATCCAACATGATCTTGAATGTAAACAATCACGGTCACTGCCAATAATATCGAAAACCCCATGCAAAAATAGTACCAGTTGAAGTACTTCCATGTCCTACTCTTTTGCTTAGGGTCTGCTTCGTCGAATTGGTCTGCTCCGAATGCCACCACGCAAGGCCGGATTCCACCGGCCCCCAACGCCGTCAGTAGAAGAGAGATGTAAAGGATTGCCAGTTGCCGGGAATTGGCCTCTTGGCACACTTGCTCAGCTTCACATGGTGGAGGCCTCAACTTTGGTTGTATTGCTGATATTGTCAAACATATCAATCCCTGATTACAAAAATACGGTAAAAATTAGATTTTATATTCAAACAACAAATATCTCAATAATTTGACAAAATTTTGATTCACTAATATTCATGTACACATGCATCAATTTGAACAATTTGTTTTTGAGGGATTTATATTTGATTCATAAACACCGAAAGTATTTGCAAGTAACTTACCAAATGCACAAGTGACATGCGACCCATTTTAGAGGACTTTCTAAAATATTCAAAAATACAGACAGGGGAATCATCTACGCACAGTTATTTTACTCTGTTTAGTCATTCATGTGCTTATTTGAATAAACTACATCTGTTTTCTCTTGGTTAGTTATCAAAAAATCAAAAAATCTATTAGTCTCTTCATATACACACACAAACACACACACAGTCTTACCATTTGGTATATGATGGAAGCAACTGTTATGGTCCAGAACCGTCCGGCAAATGCATCGGCAGCGAAGGCCCCGAGCAATGGTGTCAAGCTCGCAGTGCCATTGAAATTAGTGATGGTGTTGGCTGCTTTGATCAGGGGCATGTTAAGCTGTTGTGTTAAGTAGCTAATCATATTAGTGCTAAAACCCACCATAGCCAACTTCTCACAAATCTCATTAGCTGCAAAAAAAAAACAATACCACCAATTAAAAAACCAAGATCTCACAAGATCATTACTAAGTAGTTTCAAAAAGAAAATTTATATATATGAGATTACCGAAGATGAAGGGCATGGTGATCAATCCACCCTTTTTCTTTTCAACATGGCTACCTTCCTTCTCCATCATTTTCATCTTCTTGAGCTAGTTTTTGTGTGGTGTTAGAATGGACCCCAAAGCCAACTATTTATAGTCTGTTTGGAGGTTTTATGCAGTAACTAACGCCTGTAACTTTTTGAAGTTTCATTCAGTAATTAATTTGTGGCCACATATAAGAGGATTAGGAGTGCATGAGTTGGGTGGTGGGTGAAATTCAATAACCACTTTTCTCCTCTTATATTATTATGCAGCAGATATGCAATCAAATTTTCGTTGAAGCCAAAGGAGATGTGATGGACTTTTCCTGTGCGAGATTAGGACCACTGCAGATGTATGCTGTTCTAACACAGTAACTAACGGCTGTAACTCCGACGAAGACTCGATCTATGTTGTTTTAGCCTATGTTATGCACACAAAATGACAACAAGAGCGAAAGTGTCGCAAGCCAGAGAGCCGGGAGCGCACCAAATGTGACTTAAAATTTTACCGTCACATACTGAGATTATTTTTATTTTCAAGTGGTGACTGAATTTAAAATAAAATAACCTTACCCTTGGGCAAAAGTCCTCCCCTTTTTTCTTTTTTTTTTTTAACAAATACATATTTTAAAAACCACAAAAACCATATAAAAGTTGTTATTCACAACCCAAAGGATTGTATTCACCTTATTTCACACAAAGTAATGCTACACATCACAAATATTTATTGTGGATTCAGTCACCTTATTATACCAAATAAATTTAATAAAATGAACGAATACTTGATAGATTAGGATCAGTTCAAGCTTCCATTCAATATCTAAACTCTACTTGAGTTTCATCCAAACTTGAATAACTTATTTGAGTTCATCAAGTTGATCTTAAATATCCAAATACTTAACTTGGCATTAACCTAAATAAATAATCACATTTATTTGAAGAGAGCTAATAATGGCGCTTCACCAATATCCTTTTCATTTCATCGTTTTTTTCCCTCAAAAGGGGGATTGGTTCTTTTACAAGTCTTCTTTCAACACTTATTCAAATTATAGGTTCAATTTATATGTGATAAAGGCTGTCTTCAATAACTGATAAAGGCTCACACATTCTACCACAGGTACTCAATGATTTTACAAGGAAAATCTCTCTTAACTAGAGATCAAAAACCTTGATTCCTGACTTAGCCAGTGCAAATCCACTAGTTGTAATGTAAAAAGAAACGCACTCAGCTGTCTCACTCTCTGCACGTACCCTAGCTCACATACAATGCACATAAGCACTCTCCCTGTCCTAAGCAACCCTGCTTGGACCCTATGAGCTCTCACAACTCACCAAATACATTATAAAAGATGTATAACAACAATACTTTAGCTATTATAAAGGATAAAAGTGATCGTACAACTCAAAAGTATCAAACAACAGCTGCATGCAATTCTTCATTCTGTTGAATCTGTGGTCTGAGGGGTAAAATTGGAATTTCGTATCAACACAGACCAGAAAATGGTTTTCGCAGCTTTGTTTCTTCAATACACACAAGTTCAGATTATAATCATAGTGATAACAACAAGGTATAACAATGATAGTACACAGACATGCCTTATACATCAGAAAACCCCAAAAGCTAGGGTTTCAAAGGTCAAAACCACAAATGGCCATTTCTCTGTGCAAATCTCAACTTGAACAGCCTTGATTCATCTATATAAACTTACTCAGATGATAAGAGTGCAACAAACAACAAAATAACAATTACATAAGCTTATATTAGAAAGATAAACCAGTAAAAACAAGCACAGATGGAGGTTGACATCAAACACTACTGCAGCTAACAAATGTATACAAGCATGGTTTCTGCAAATATAAAATGATAAGATACACTTGCCTCAACCTCTGGAAGTCACAAGAAAGGCCTCAAGCTTGATTTGATTCTTTGAACCAGCCTTCTGCATCAGCAAACCAACACTACACAGCGTTAAACATCATCTTCAAATGCACACTCACACTATCTGGATCTTTGAATTAAATTAGCTCACAAAGTTGTTCTCAAAACTCATATATTGTTCATTGTTCTTGGGGTCTCGAGTGTATGTGTGATACGTCCCAATTTTCGAACAAGGTTTGATCAGGTCTGCACCTGAAGACCGGGGGATATCAAACAATTAATATTTAAAACAAGCACAGAAAACTAGAGAATAAATAATAAAATAAATAATATAGTTGAAAAGAGAACTAAAATATTTATTAAATAATCATTAAATACTTTGATACCAAAACTCTAAATAAATCCCACAACTAGCAAAACTCCATAACCAAAGTAAACTGATGAGCGCAGAAAAGTGCGCGTTTAAACCCCATAAGCTTGAGCATTCTAGGACCTTTATCTATCTTATTTCTCCGTTTTATTCTAATTTCGTGTTATTGCCCTTTTTAGGTGCTTATCCCAAAAATAAGTCAATTCAGCCAAATAAGAGCATTAAAGAAGTTAACTCAAGTTGAATGGAAGAAAGAAGCAAAATGGAAGCTAAATGAAGCAAAGTGTGGAAATTTAACATGTTCGATCGATCTCAGCATTTTTTTGATCGATCGAAAGTTCATTGATCTAAACAGTTCAAGATGGATCCAAGCCCTTGTCTTTATCCAAAAGAATTCAACAAGTTCGATCAATCCAACATTTCCTAGATCGATCGAAATGATTTGATCTTATCCACACCTACCACCCACCTACCACTTTTGTCTTCTTCCCAAAAATATCCTAAAATATCTCAGAGATTTGTCTTTATTTAAAAAAACGCCACTAAGGATGATCGATCTCTGCAGCATTCGATGGATCTCAGCCAAGTTCGATCGATCTCTCCACAGTTCAATCGATCGAACCTCCTCAAGTCCGAAAAAAAAATAAATTCCAGCTCATTAAAAGTTGGCTCATAGTGCAATCATTGGAGAGACCTTGGTGTACGAGCCTAGACCATTGGGTGTGACACTTGACCTACCTATATAAGGATTTTGAGCCATTTTTACATCATAACTTGTAACATTCAACATAACTTATATTTTTCTTATCTTGGAGAGGAGGCTAGAGATTAGAGAGCTTTACACATTTTGAGAGTTCTTTCATTCTTCTAGGGTTTTCATTAAGAAGGAGGTCATTCCTACCATGGAGATAGCCATTGAGGGTTGGATGACTACTTCAATGAATGGCTAGACATCTACTTGGGGCTAGAGTAGCCCTTAAGTTTGCTTCCTAGACTTAGTTCTTTGTATATTTTTGGGGATTCATTTGTAACAAATGTTTTGATCTTGGATTTATATATATATCTTGTAGTTTTTACTTGATGTGTATGGATTAGTGCTTTCAATTGATTATCTACTTCTAACCATATGTTTATGTATGCTAGAATGGATGATTCATGTGCTTTTCTCTAGATTTAGTGGAATTTATGCATCTCTATGTGTATGGATGAAGTTAACTAGAAATGGTCAAAACATAGAGCTTAATTGAACACTCTTGCAATTTATTTGATGGTTCACACTTGTTTCTTGATGGATTGTACCACACCTTTAGCTTACTTAATTTAATTTAATGTCTTTAGTGTAGATGTAGTATAGTTGCTTTAAATTCACAGATAGGTGGACAATCTACTCTTGTTCCTTCGTGTTCCATACTTATGAATGCATTAGGTATATGTTTCTAGATAGTTGTGTGTGCATAAATTGTGGTTTCATTGAATGGATTTTGGTCTCATTTGATAGATTGTGCTTTCCATTTGATTTGGCTTGACAATATATGTTTATTTGCTATCCATGCCTAGTTTCAATTAATGTTACACACACACACAAGTTACAAGTCAATTTCCCTATTAATATACAATTGCTAGTGTCTAATGAAGTCAAGCTTAGTGGTGAGCTCTAGTACCCCAAGTTCTCCCCTCTATATCTTTCTTTACTTTATTAATCATTGAATTTTGTTTACTTTAATTTCGTTTGCATAATAGCTTAATCAATCAATCCAACCAATCTTTGATCACTCGACCTACTAACCCTATATATTGTTTCCATTGCAAAGGCACCCACAATCCCTTGGGACGATCCTTACTCACCCTAGCTATATTTTTAGTTAGAGGTAATAGTGGCTTTTATAAATTTAAAACTTGGCCACATTGCACACTCACATTCTTAGTTCATATCTTTGCAAACTTTTGGTGAACCGCGGCTAAATACCCACCAAGTTTTTGGCGCTGTTGTCGGGGATTTAACTGGCAACGCCGTGTTTTGGAAACAAATAAGAATTAGTTCTGTTTTGATCGTGTCTTTTCCTTATTTTCTTCTTAGTTACTTATTGTGTTTGTTCTTGATTGACTAGGTGCATTGAGTGAAGGAAGTTGAGTAAAGGAGAATTCAAAACAAGGAGCTAAGCAAGGCAAAAGGACTAAAAATCTAAAAAATTGCAAAGCAAAGCAAGGCTAGGAAGTTGAAAGTTAAATTAAAGTTGCTTAAGGACCCTTTGTGAAATCTTTCTAACTCAAGTTCTAGTTAAATCGTCGGCCTGCGTGGAGGCTTGTTTTTCATTTCTTAGATAAATCCTGAGCCCGCGTGGAGGCAATTTACTTTTCTTTGCATATTGTTCAAGTATGGGAGTATGGGATCATTGTATGTAAAGATTTGTTGATTTGTTGTGCGGGCGAAGTGTTTGTTACTTGCTTATTTCTTATTATTTGTTTTGCTAGTGCATGCATGATCGTAGGTCATTAAATCCTACTCTTGTTCCTCTTAATTTTCATCTTGAATAGGTTGTTCGTAATCCTAGGGAAGAAGTAGTTCTCATCACTCCATTTTATCAATGGAGGAGCAAAACAATGACCATGTGGAGGACCTTGGTTACATAGACCAACAAGGCATCCTCCACCCTAATGTGCATCATGCAAACATCCAAATACCATTAAGCATGCCTAGACCATTCATTCTACCACAACAACAAGGTCAAATTCCATTGGGAATGCCTCAACCAATCTTTGCTCCATAACCTCCTATGGTTTAAGCTAATCACGGTGTTCGAGTAGCACCACCG